CCCCAGCAATCCCCGCCTCCACTACTACTGCTCAGCCAGATCACAGCAATTCTCCCCATAGACCCCCAGCAATCCCCGCCTCCACTACTACTGCTCAGCCAGATCACATCAATTCCCCCCATAGACCCCCAGCAATCCTCGCCTCCACTACTACTGCTCAGCCAGATCTGTAATTCTCCCATAGACCCCCAGCAATCCCCGCCTCCACTACTACTGCTCAGCCAGATCACAACAATTCTCCCCATAGACCCCCAGCAATCCTCGCCTCCACTACTACTGCTCAGCCAGATCACATCAATTCTCCCCATAGACCCCCAGCAATCCTCGCCTCCACTACTACTGCTCAGCCAGATCACAGCAATTCTCCCCATAGACCCCCAGCAATCCCCGCCTCCACTACTACTGCTCAGCCAGATCACAGCAATTCTCTCCATAGACCCCCAGCAATCCCCGCCTCCACTACTACTGCTCAGCCAGATCACAACAATTCTCCCCATAGACCCCCAGCAATCCCCACCTCCACTACTACTGCTCAGCCAGATCACAACAATTCTCCCCATAGACTCCCAGCGCTCCCCGCCTCCACTACTACTGCTCAGCGAGATCACAACAATTCGCCTCATAGACCCCCAGCGCTCCCCGCCTCCACGACTGCTGCTCAGCAAACTTGCAACAATTCTCCCCATAGACCCCCAGTGCTCCCCGACTCCACTACTACTGCTCAGCAAACTCACAACAATTCTCGCCATAGACTCCAGCGCTCCCCGCCTCCACTACTACTGCTCAGCCAGATCACAACAATTCTCCCCATAGACCTCCGCACAGACTGAATCCTCGGAACTGCTTTGGGCAAGGAAATTGTGCGGGTGGTCGGTCACATCCTCCTTTTAACTAACTTCCGAACCACCAGTCGGATTGTGTTGCAGGATTAATATTTTATTAATCCTGCTGTAGAGAATTTAACATATGTGTAACGGCTACCCAGATTGTAGAGGGATATCAACATATCCAAAAATGAGTCGAATCGGACCAGTGGTTCGGAAGTTAGTTAAAAGGAGGATGTGACCCACCTCCCGCACTTTTCCCTGCCCAAAGCAGTTCCACAGATTCAGTCTGTGCGGTTGGTCTTTTTTTCCCTTTACAATAAGTATACATTTCACGAATGGAACCGTTCGTGTCTGCCATCAATGAATACTGTTTGTTCGTATGAATATACTCCCGAAATAGCGCTTTGTTCGTGTGATTCCAGTCGAACGCACGGAAGGTAGAAGTTTCAGTGATGTTAGTTGAAAAAGTAGCCGAAATTAGTTCCACGCTGTCGACGACCAAACACCGCTTAGTGCGTTCAACTAGACAAAATTGCCGCTGCCACATGTTCACACAGACGAAAGCCGACCACCCTGTTAATCCATTGTTTGCGGTTTTCATGGGTCAAGAGGGTTAATTGGTGCCACACTCCTGCTCTGGGTGGTCGGTCGTTCGACAAAAGATTCGGGATACAAACGGGTTATGGCCAAATACATGTATATTCATTATAAGGGAATGCATTTAAACGAATGGTCTTTTCTAGTAGCCAGAAGCAAATACAGTCTCTGTGATAAATGGGCTTTTTGGTACACGGAAGAGTCTGGGGGGGGTTCCAGGCAAAAACAAGGGGTTCAGTTACAAATGCTCAAGAAAAATTTACAGACATACTTATCACATATAAAAACCTATGACCATACATTAATATTGCGATGACAAGATATTGCCCTATAATTCTTAAGAAGCGGAAAGCATACTTAATATAGCCAAGCAGAAATTACATCATAGGAGTACTTGAAAGTTCCACTAGAGGTCAGTGTTCGAGTTTGCATGAACCATAACGCATGGTGTAGGAGTTTTGTAAACCACCGTTGTGGTTAGTGTTCGAATGTACTGCACGAACACTCTATCAGGCTATAGGACTTTCGTGCTGCCTTGTATTGATTCAACCAAATGGGGTGCGTTCGTTGGAAAATAGACGATCCGGCGGTAATTTAGAAACATGAGAATGACGTTCGTGTGAATAAGCCAAACTATAATAGTAATCTTATGATTGCACAAGTCCCAAAACCTTGCAAATTACTATTTTTTTAAAAATTCTTTATTTTATTTGTGCAGGGATAGTTACAGACAGCGTGCACTGCCATATCAGCTAGGGCACACAGAGCTTCAGACTTAGCTTTACATTGGTTAGGCAGTAGAAATCCGTGCACATTTTTTTTGAACTATTGTCGCATAACTAAGTGTTGCATCTATTCTAGTTAGTTGTGAGATTAATGAACAAGGCTAGTGAAACACACAATATTGTAGATTTATCTAGTTGGCATAGACTGCAGGTTATGCATGAAAGAAAAGCCACTTATAACTTGATGAACGTTTTGTAATGCCCCAAAAGCTAATGTAAGTGGGGCCCAGTTCAACACTTGAGGGCATTCAAAAGACACTGCACATTTCTTTTCAAGATTAGAACTAATAACAATACTGTTGTGACACATGCATAAACAGTTGCGAGGTAAACTAAGCAAGTATATGTAGGGTAACTGTCATGTTGCATGCTTAATGTTGTAGTGCAGGGGTAGGCAACCTACGGCTCTAGTGCCATGCCCGGCACTCGAGGCGTCAGTCCACGGCACTCAAGGCTGCAAGAGCCAAACAGGCTCTGGCCTGTCAGGAGTCTCAGTGAAATTTCAGATATCTGCTAATACGAAAAGGTGGTGAAGCAAAATCCTCAATTTATTTTTGGGTTTTGGGTAATGCTGATCTCTGTGGGAGTTTCCTGGTGGCGTTCAGCATCCTCGTGGGGGGCCATAGGGATGTCCGTCGCTTGAACTGTGCCTGCCGTTTGGGCAGACGTCGTGAGGGGTGCTTCCTTCTAGGTGGAGCTGCAGGCTTTCACGGTGGGCCCTGGTGTTAGGGAGCAGTTGGCTGTACATCGGTAGGCGCACTCATCATGCTTTCTAGTCTCCGCCAGAATTCCAGGAACCGATTGTCCAGCCGGCCGAGTATGCACAGTTAGGTGCTGGGAGCCATGTGGCATCCGCCATCTTGGCGTGACCGCCGCTGGGTGCACTCATAGCCGGGGGCTTGATTACTGGGGTTGCGCTGCCCTCTGGGTGGGACCAGAATCACCCCCATCGGACCAAATGGGAGTGTTACTGGGCACAGGCCCATGCTTATCTGCAGCTCAGTTTACTCGAAGCGGGGGATCGTCCGCTTTTCACACGGGTGTAGCAGGACAAGTACCTAGAGTCGCCAGCCTCCTTTTCGCTTTGTAGGGAAGGCAGGTAGCTTAGGTATCGAGTAGAGTGGCTCAGATCAAGTAGTAGTTGGCTGTGTAAAGTGCCTTTTTTTGGCATATTGGGGGAGGAGCTCCTCCGAGATGCGTCCTCCCGCCATGCTGGTTCAGCCCTGCCCCAGCAAATGATTTTTTAAGCCAAACCGTTCATGAGTTTTGAAAACAAATAAAATAAGATGAAATACTATACGAAATTAGTTATACAAATGTACAAAGCAGACAATAGACCCAAACCAAGATGACGCCATGGAACTGCGACCTTGGCGCGACGGCTGGGTCAGTATCTTACGGTTTGGAGAGTGCTTCCAGATCAGTTTGTAGTGAGCTGGAGCCTTGGAGGGGTGAAGAGAGGGCTGAATCCGTCAAGAAATATTGCGGTCGTTTGAATCTGAGGGGAGACAGCCTTCCAGGTAGCAACCAAGTGGAGACTAGGTACGTTTGAAAATGGTGACTTGCATCTGACGGGAGTAACCACATGCAAATTGCTAAAACCGGAGCAATACAGGAGAAGGTGAGGAGTCCCTTTAAAAAGGTAAATAAGCCCCTTTCCACAATGCCAGGCAAAGCCGTTATATATATGAAGGCATAGACTGTAACTGTGGGAGGGGTTACCCGGCTATAAAAACTACTACAATGGCTATTCAACAGCCACACTCCTAGACATAGCAAGCCCCGCCACCTCTTCCCCTATTCTGTGACAAGCACCAAGTAAGCTGGATATCTGGGGTATTATTTCTAGCACCCTTGCGGTTATGTCTTATTTCCTTCACGCATTTATATCACACTTGGGAGCTACCACATGTTCCCTTATGATTGTCCATACTCTATTTTAGGTTATTGACTTATGTTACTACTCCCTTCTCAGAACATTGGGGAAATCATTGGATTATTGCTCTACTCACGGATATTTTGCCATTCCATACTTACTATATTGATAGAG